CCCAATTTTTGGCCTTACGAGAGTAGGTGTCAAAAATTTAGGACCTTAGTGACAGTACTCAACTTCTTTGTGCCTTTGTCTCCTTTTGCTGTTTACATTTCTTCTCCGTTTTGGAATCGGAAACGTGGCCAACTGCAACTTCTGCGATGCAATTGCAATTCTTCACCACTTAGGACTCGGAAACATGATTGACTCCAATTCATTATAAAACACAGCCACTCCTCCGATAACCATCATCACATATTTGCAGCCATTTCTCTCTTTTTGTTTTTCTAGTTTTCGGCATCATCTCTGTCAAGCCATTCCAGCCATGGCCAGCCAATTTCTTGCCCAAGAGTTATAGCAAGGAAGAAGCCTTAAATCCTTTAAAGCCAAAAGAAGCAAATTACTAGTTGAGCTCAAGGAAGAAGGACGTGAAGCTTTGGCTACAAAGAGTGAGGCTGCACAACAAGAGGAGAAGGCAAAGGAAGCCAACAACACACTGCAGCAAATGAGAGATGAGTGTGCCACTTGGATGCAAAACCTTTGCTAGGGTTTTTTTTCCTTTTTTTTTTTTCTCTAATGATGAACATGAATTATTCGCTTGCTTCATTCATGCTGCCCACGGCTTTGCAAACGAAGCCGCTCTAAAACACAAATGTAAGAACATGCCATGCCTCCTTGGCAGCACCAAGTCTTATGTATGCTTCCATGGTTCAAGCCAAAACTCTACGTGTCCTTATTGAAAGAAAAACAACTTGAATCAAATAATATACAAATGTCTGCAAACCTGGATCATGCAGACGTGGAGGCAGAACTATCCCTTGCCTCCCACACAGTTGGATAATATGGTTTCAAGTAGATGCCATTGATCTTTCGCGGATGCAACTCCCTATTCAAAGATTTTAACCAATAAGCACCTCCTTTAAGAACTTTATGAATTTGGAATGGTCCTTCCCAATTAGGGGACCATTTACCATATCTAGGATCCTTCTTGCCAAGTGGCAGCACAGCCTTCCAAACCAAGGTTCCTTCGGCTAGATTCTTTTGCTTAACCCTTTTGTTGTAAGCTCGTGCCACTTTAAGCTTCTGGGCCTTCATCATATCCAATGCTGTCAGCCTTGCTCCCTCAAGGTCTTCCAACTCCATGATCATGGCCTCATTGTATTCCCCAGAATTCAAGCCATTTTGAATTGCAATCTTAGTTGAACTCCGTTGTGAGGTTCTGTATGCCCAGAGAGTATCTGAAAGAAGCTCATGCCATCTCCTGGGATTATCATCAACCATTTTCTCCAGGATGTTGATGATAATCTTATTAGATGCCTCTGCTTGACCATTTGCTTGTGTATAATGCGGAGTTGAATTAAGCAAATGAATCCCATGTCTTTTGCAAAGGCCTCTACTTGAGATCCAACAAAAGCAGTACCTTGATCAGAAGTGATAGTCTCTGGAAGACCAAACCTGTGGATCAGATCCTCTTTTATGAACTTGATGACATCTCCTTGCTCAACCTTCTTCATAGGCCTTGCCTCCACCCACTTAGTAAAGTAGTCTGTAGCAACTATTATGAAATAATGACCTTTAGAAGAAGGTGGATAAATTTTCCCAATCAAATCAATTGCCCAGCCACGGAAAGGCCATGGCTTGACAATAGGATGTAACTCAGAAGCTGGCACTCGCTGCAAAGGACCATGCAGCTGACAAGCTCTGCAGCCCTTCGCATAATTGATGCAATCCTTAAGAATAGATGGCCAAAAGAAACCATGCCTTCGAATTAGCCATCTCATCTTAATCCCTGCCTGATGAGCACCGCAAATACCATTATGAACATCTGACATCACATGGCAACTTTCATCAAGACCGAGGCAGCGCAACAATAACTCATCCTGCCCCCAACGATACAGAACATCCCCGAGTAGCACATAGTTTAAAGCTTGCATCCTTGTTCTCCTTGATGTTTTAGAATTGGGATTCCTCAAATGTTCTATTATTGGATGCCTCCAATCTGTAAGTGTGACATCTAATGAGCATGCTTCCACCGTTATTCCTCTTTGATGAATTGAAGGCAGCATACGTTTTTCAATGACGATGACTTTCTCCAAGATGCCTTCAGGCAATTTTACACCTGAAGCAATCTGTGCAAGTTCATTTGCTTCAATATTCATATTGCAAGGAATATGCTCCAGGGAGACATCATCAAATTCCTCCAGTAGTTGGATGGCAGTGGCAAAATATGGAGACAAAGCCACGCTTGTACACTTGTATTCACCACTCAATTGCTTGAGAACTAATTGAGAATCACCCACAATTTCAACCGATGGCACCTTCAACTCTACCAACAACTCAAG